TGATTGTGGGGGTGCAGTGACATACTCTACCCCTCACTGCTAAGCCACAGCTCCCCACCCCCAGCCCTGCTGCTGCCTCTCACTCCTGACCCACTGTACCTCACCCTCCAGACCAGGCTGGTGCCCCTCACTCCCAACCTGCAGTCCCCTGCCCTTCCCCCCCGCCCAGCCCTGCTGCCCATGCAGCTCACCCACTCGCACTTTCTTACCTGCCAGCAGCTGCCAGGGCCCAGCACAGAACACATGATCCCCAGGCCTCCAATTCCCTTCCCCCTGCCCCCAGCCCCAATGAGCCAAACCGGAAGTGGCAGGGGAAAAGCAGAGGCAGAACAAAAACCCAGACATTTGCTTATATTTTAAAAACCTGCCTGGACAGAGAACAGTGGACCAAAAAAAGAGGACATGTCTGAGAAAACGTGGACGTATGGTAACCCTAGCGTATAGATGCCCTCAATGTTTTAAGAAAGGATATGAGCAAGCTATCAAAACAGTCGGGGGAAGGCGGGGAGAGGGGAGGAGTGAGAGGGAAAGAGCTTGGAAAGATAATAAGCTTAAATTACAAAGTAACATCAAAGTAAAATATTTTTCTGACGGCAAAGACTTAGAAAAAGCCTTCAGAGAAGCCATATGGTAAAGTCGCCATGGAGGCCTTGTAGAAAACCCTTCTACTATCTGTTTAATGGAAAGCCTGGAGTTCAGTGCTGTAGTCTACTGTTCATAGCATTTATTCTATTAAATTGCATTTGTGAAGGGTTTAATGATTACTGACCTCTGGTATGCAGAAACCAAAGAAAAGCAAAGCATGCAAGTCAAACAAGTCCATCTGTCTGCTCTTTGCAGCATTCATCCGCTATCTGAATCCTTTTAACTAAGCAGCTCAGGGAAAGTTTACTGTAAATACTTGACCTATTTGGTTTAAATAGGCTGGGTCTTCCCTTTTGTCTCTTCTCCCTCGACCCCTGCTGGTGCACACACTTTGATTGAATCCTCCTCCTGCAGAACTATGGTTCTGTGAAGTCAGTGGCCTTTATTTTGCTACAGAATACTAGAGAACAGCCACAGCAGACTTTCAGCTATCAAGTCAAGAAGTTCTGAGCAGTAACTCTCCAAATTCTTTAATGGAAATCTCTTGTATTGGGGTGAAGAGTTGATGCTGAGCAACTGAAATCTGCTTTCTACATCAAATTCTGCTTTACTTAAAGAATGCACTGTTGCATTTCACTCAAATGTCAGTTTATAAACTTCAAGGAGTTTTGAACAAGCAGTAATACATCTACTTCAAAAAGCCTTAGCCAGTTGTGACAGTCACTCCTTCCAGGAGCATCTGCCCTTTTCTCTAATGAGAGGTTGTCCACACAGGGAATCTGTCCCAGTTTTGTCCAATTTTAAACTTGCAAGGAATTCACTGTTAACTTGCGTGTTACAAATCTAGCCAGATAAAAAAAGCCAGTGAAAAGTGCTGTTTTTCTGAGTTCACTCAACTCCTGCTACCAGATTTTTCTTCATTAGTTAAACAATTCAGACATTATGCAAATAAAGAGATTTAGGATTGAAAGCAGAAGTAAGGTGCTGATGAACTCAAATATTTTAGTCCAAAAATAGTTTTCACATCTCCCAGTAACTACCTGTGCAGCAGCTGGAACTAAAACCCGCATGATCCGGGGACAACAGGGCAGACCCTACAGTGAGAGACTGCGGGACCTGAACCTGTTCAGCCTCCACAAGAGAAGGCTGAGGGGGGACCTGGTGACCGTCTATAAACTCACTAGGGGGGACCAGAAGGGTTTGGGGGAGACGCTGTTTCCCCTAGCGCCCGCTGGCATAACAAGGAGTAATGGGCACAAGTTGACGGAGAGGAGGTATAGATTGGACATCCGCAAGAAC